AGTCTATACAGTGATGTAAAAAATATCCTTAGTATCACATTGTGTAATCATCAGGAATAATATAGTATTAAATGTTTGGAAATTAAGTGGAGTTTTTTTTCTTCACAGATCTTTTGTATTATTTAATAAGTATAATCTGCTTGTTATAAATTCCTTAGGAAAAATATTTTAATCATTTATTATTTTGGGGGAAAGATTTATTTATGCATACAAGAACTGGGGTACAGGCCAGAGGTGGGGGGGAGGTGAGAGGATTCACCAGAGACAGAGTAGGAAACATAACAGGCAGACTGACTGAAATACACTGCTGAGGGGAGCAGCGGGTGAGACAGGAGAGGTCTGCTGCACCATGTGGGTTAGCTCATGGCTGGGGATTGAACTCATGCTTTAGTGACTGCTGATAGCTTCATAGTGCTGAGACTTAACCCCTTGCACCATCAGGGCTGCCTCTCATTCCCTATTTTTGTAGATAGAAATCATCTACAGTGCCAGGTACTGTCCTAAACTTTACATCATTTATAATCTGTTCACTAAAATAGCAACTCTGGATAGTTTTTATTTCCACTTTGCATAAGGATACTGAGTTTTAAAAAGGTAAATTATTTGGTGAAGGTCATGGAGGCTAGTACAGGATGGCACTGATACTTGAAACTTCATCTCTCTTACTACAAACCACATGGTAGGTAATGTCATCGAAGAATCATAATACCTTTTCCTTACATTTTGGATCACCTAGAAACTTGTATTCTACCATCGTTTTATACTCTATCCATCCACTGAAAATTCATGTTTAATGGTAAGAAAGTCATATACTTCATAGTGAGTAGCAACACTTGATGCTGTACTAAGAGGGAAGTATGATGTAGTCAGTTTACCTGTGAATGTTGCTTAACACACAGGAACCCAGATTAACATATAATTGTGTGTTTTAGAGGTGAAAAGGCAGTAAAATACAGTACCGCCACTCCTCTTTGGGCAACATAAGGATGAAACTAATGATTAATGTCTAAGTAATTCCAAGAGTAGTTAATATAATAGCTCATATTTATATAGTATACCCTGGGAAGTCAGAACTCACTGGCAAAAAGCAATGATGATACTTGAGGAAAAGCAGTTTTTTTTTTTTTTTTTTAAAAGAAAAATCAGGGGGCAATCAGCCTATAAGTCTAGGGTGCCCTGTAAAATTGTCTTTGTGGATTATTGTTTTGTTCTTTCTACTTTAGTAAGAAAGTTATCATAGCATGGTAGATAAATCCTAAACTGCTAAAATGGAAGACAGCTTGTAGTTTAGCTACCTGTGAGGTGACCTCTTCTGCAGTATTATTGCATTCCTGAAATCTGTTCTGCCCCCTTTCGTTCTTATTTGGGCTCTTTCTACATCACAGTTTGCTGAGAAGGCTGATTGAATTTAGAAGAATTCTGTTTATAACTAGAAATTGTGTCTCATGTCAGCAGTTTTCATGTTTTCCTGGTTCAAGTGTCATTATATCAGCTATACTGTTTTTCCTCTAAAATTTGGGTGGACTTATATATTAGCTGTTAAAAACAAGACATAATTGAAAAAGAAACCTTGATTTAATTAGGATAGTATTTCCTTTTTCCAGTATAGTGTCTCCCTTCTGCCCACCCCCCCTTTTTTTTTACCGTGTTATTTTAGTTCTATTTCAGAATAGCCATTCTTTCCACATCTTGTTATTGCACGTTTTATATAATTGGAAAAATACTATATTCAGAGTTGTAGCCCAGTATTGTGTGTATTTTTATAGGCAGAAAATGACTGCATTGGAACCTTTTAATACGCTGTGTTCAAACCTTATTTGTTTCTAATTAGTTTCAATTTTCTTTCTATGAAATCAGAAGTGTTTTGATTGTGTCAGGAGCCGCAGCAGTAGTTTTAAGTACCTTTTAAACATTAACTGGGTCTAATTGATATTATAATGATTAACATTATATGTTCTATGTTTGATGAAAGCTATTGTGATTCAGTTGAGCAATTCTGAAGACTATTTCCTGCTTTTACACACACACAAAAAAAGATAGTTACTTCCATCAAACTAAATTTAGCAATTTAAAAAGTAGTTGTATGGGCTAACGCCTAGGGTTTCAATCTGTTAATCCGTGTGGTAGATTCATTGTGACTAGAGAGAGGCTATTACTGTTTATTTCTGTCTCTACAAAAACAGTACTGTACTCATCAGTACCCATGAAGGACTTGCTTTCTACAGAGCATATGGCATCACAAAAGCTCCCATTACAAAGTAGCACCAGAAACTGCTTACGGAATGTAGGCTTTTTAAAAGCAAAAGCCGTGCAGTGCCTTACCACTCTGCCTCTGCCTGTCAGGCGTGGAGTCAAATCCAGTGGATAAAGGTTTGACTCATCTCTTGTGTTTTTAAAAGCAAAGAAGAAACCACTGCTGTAAACATTAAGAATGAATGAATGCAGGGCCTCCCCGGTGGCACAGCGGTTGAGCGCTGGGTTGCGAAGCTGCCCGTGGCCTCTGCAGCGCCGGTTCGATCCCCCGCTGCTCCCCGGCCACCGGAGGAGGGTCCCACATGGCGCGCAGACCTCTCCTGCCGCCCGCTGCTCCCCTCAGCAGTGTACTTTGGTCCTTCTGCCTACTCTGCTCCCCGCTCTGGCTCTGGTGAATTCTCTCACCCTCCCGCGCTTCTGACTGTACCCAGTGCTTGTATAATCAAACAAACAAACAAACAAATAAACATGCCTCTATTAAAAAAAAAAGGGGGAATTAATGAATGCATTATTTTTTTTCCTTTATTTTTCCTTTTTCCGACCACCACTGCTTATACACCTTCCACACACTCTTCCTTCCCAGTCTCTTACACTTGAAAACCTCAGCTTATTAGTGTATGCTAGTGTTTATATTTTGCCTTGTTGCAATCGGTGTGAATGTCCAGTATTTGTCATTCTGCTTGCTTTCCTACAGATGGCTTTGAACAACTCCCATTTTGCTCTGACACATTCCATCTTTCCTTGTAGCTGAATGATCGTGTCTTTGAAATGACAAATTGATCCTGTTACTGGCTATGTAAAAACCTTGTTACATTCTCTTCACAGTGCCAGATGCCTTACTAGACTGCACTCCAGGTCCTTGAATAGTTGCAGTTTGCCAGGCTTTTCGGCATGACCTCAGTGGTCTTCCCTGGTCCTTATTCTCCTAGACCCGCTTTATATGTCATCTTTTGCTGGCATTCACCCAAAGTTGCTTTCTCTGCTCCCATGGCATTTTGTTTACTTGCTTCTTTGTAAAATCAGTGTTAATTATAGTAAATCCGTGACTATCATTGGTCAAGGATGAGAATTAAAATTTTCATCTTTGTAACCTTCCTAGTGCTTAGCAGCCAGCCAGTCAAGTTTGCTGATTTGACTGGGAAATCTATTAGTTTATTACTAATCATACCATGTCCTCCTGTTTTACCACTTAACAAAAATTCTGTTCCTGATTATTGCTACAAGCTATTTGTTTCCTTTTCTGTCCAGGCAGCATAATTCGTTGTATGAGACGGCTGGAAGAACTGCTTCGACAGATGTGTCAAGCAGCTAAAGCCATTGGGAACACTGAACTGGAAAATAAATTCGCAGAAGGTCAGTAGCCATTCTGTCAGCTTTTTTGTAAAATTTTAGACAAATCTTGTAAGTCTTGAACCTTTGACCACAAACTAGCACATTTTCAGGTTTTTTTACTGGATTGCCATGGAGGACCCCTAGTAGGGTTTAAATAAAACCTTGGAGTGTCTGTGAGGGAAACAGTTTCGACACTTTTTAATATACATTCAGATATTTATTGTGCACTTACTATATGCCAGGCACTAGGGGATACAGTGCTGAACAAAAGGACACAAATCCCTGCCTTCATAGAGTTTGCATTCTAGTACAGGGAGATGGACAATAAATAAGTCAACAATTACATCAACTGTGTAAGTCTATAGAAAGTCTATAGAAAAAGACTTGACACTAGGGAACTAGGGGGTGCATGAGATGACCTAAGCACCCCCAATCAAAAGTATCACCATCAGGCCCTTCTTATATATACTTTATATATTTGAGCAGTAGGAGAGTCCAGTATTGCAGAGCAGAGTGAACCATGAATAGAATGATAGGAGTAGGAGGGGGAAAGGAACATGTAGCCCCCACCCCTTGGGTTTCACAACACAATTTTTGCTGTTGCAGTGTAGGCAAATCTGTGGTAACACCGTAGAAGCAGAAAGACCAAATCAAGAAAGGATGACTTGACCAAAGTGGTAATAACAGTGGGGGTGGGGAGTGAGGCTAGACGAATAAGCATGCTTGTAAATACTGAGTAAAAAGCATCAAAAAACAGCAGCCATGTTGCTGGTCAGGCAGTCGATCCTATATAACAACTTTGTCTCAGAGGTTTACAAAAACTGGCTTAATGCATCCAATCCATAGATTCACTTAATAGGGTTAAGTCTATATAAACGCTTCAAATAATAAAATTTGTCCTGCTTTAGTCCAGAAAGAATCACGTATCTTCTGATGTAATGTAGGTTAAAAATTTATGTTTTGGGGTTAACTTTTTAATCACTCTGTCCTCTTCTGAGTCAGTCGTTTTGAATAGTTTTAGACACAACACAAACGGGGAACTTTAGAGTCCGTCTTAAGAGCAGAGGTCTCATTTCTGAGTTTTCCACCTCTCGGAGGGGGCTATGAACTCCTTTAGATAAACTTTCAGACCAGCAAGTTTGTGTTTTCCATGCTGTTCAGCCAGTTTTATCAGGATTGTTGTTTAAGCTCTCCATTTTCTTTTCTCATAGGAATCACCAAAATCAAGAGAGATATTGTGTTTGCTGCCAGCCTCTACTTATAGACTCAGCTAAAGGAATGTGGAATTTTAAATTGTTTACCACCTGTCTGATTACAGTCAACTATAAATGCTTAAAGTATTGATTTGGTTCTCCCATCTCAAGACACTTGTCCTTAAGCATTTTAACATGTATTATATTTAAATCATCATTTCAAGAAAGCTTATTACATACACATTTGTACATGAGCATTACATTTTTTAATAAAAAATGTATAGGTGGGACACTTTGTGAAAGGCTTGATTTTCTTTAAATGAAGTTAGAGCTATTAGATAACTGTTGTGTTAAATGTAACTATATACACACAGGTCAAGTGGGCATCCAAGAGGTATAGCAGCAGCAGTTCCTTAAGGCTTGTACACTGGGAAGAAAACACATCCTTCTGGTGGCAATCATTTTCTCTTAGCAAGCCAGCTTCATCTCGGCACTCTTGCCACCTTCAAGGTTGGTGTCTGTTTCCATAGTGATTTCCTGTTGTGGGTGTTTCATGCAGAGTTGTATGAGAATCTTCCTCTTTCCTTTCTTTAAAAGAATTTCTGTCCTTGAAGAAATCTGATACATATACAACCTGCACAGAACACGTTATACATTAAATATTTTCCTCCATTCTAATTATATAAATCATTTAAAAATCATGAAATTGCGAGAAATAGGGAGAAAAGGATATAAATACCAGGTTCAGACATTCTGCCAAATTGGGGGTTCTATTGTAGACCCAAAAAACCTGCCAGCACTTAATGAAAGAGCTACTCTATGTAAAAATTTCTTTCAAATCATCCTAAACCAAACTACTTAAACAGCCTTTATAATAGATATAACGAGACCAGTAGAATTTTTAAAAAGAGTGACCTAGTTTTTACCTGCTGTCTACCCTGAAAATGACTTAATGGCATTGGGTCCTTACCCATTTGCATTATTCAGCCACATTCTCTGCTTTTGCATAGTTTTCTCATGGGGACATATTTTCTACTTATTTATCCTGGTATTTATCAGTCCCCAAAGATGTAGGCGACTGCCCTGTATACTTACAACTAATACTGCAACCAGAGCTCCTTGGATGAGCCCAGTCAACACATCACTCCAATGGTGTTTGTAATCAGAAACTCGAGAAAGTCCCACATAAATGGATGAAGCAACAAGGCCAAATTGCAGTGTGGGGCGCAGGAGTCTTGCCCAGTCTGCCTTCATCCTGGCTTGGAGATAAAACTAGTAGGGGGAAAAAAAGAAAAAAAGTTTAAGTATCAACTGTAAACTATTTTAAGCATCACTACACCTCTAAATGGTATTTAAAATAATTAAGCGTTATTAATTATTACCATATTATTTAATGATTATTAAAGGTATAGAATAGGCCTTTAGGCAAACACTCTTATTAAAACCTAAAAGTTCACCCATCCAAGCAAAACAAACTCAACTTAATAGTTAACTAGACCACCTTTCGTTTATGATGTAGGGTTTCAGGAACAGCTCTCCGAACTGTGTTATAATTCTGATAAATCCCAAGATAGACACCAGCATTCTGAACACAGCTTTCCTTACTGAGCCCCACGCTACTAAGAGTTCACACCAGCCTATGTAGAGGCTGAATTTGCTTAATACTGTCAAATTATTCACCCGAGAGCCTCATAATCTGTATTTCTAAATAAATATACCCAGTTGTACATTAGTTCTGATCCAGCAAAGGAGTCTATTCTTTAACTAGCACTTGTACTCTTAAGACTTTTTTATACCAAAGACAGCTGTAAGAAGGTGGTTCACACTGCCTTTGATTTGTGGTGTATCCCTAAAGATTGTGTTGTAGAAGAAATTTGCGTAGTTTGCTTCTGAACCCCTTTCAGCAAATCTAGTCACATTAAAAATGTTTTTTTGGCCTAATTCCAATTCAATACAGTAAGAATATAATTTTTAACATTCATTTTTAAGATTCTAAAGAGTAATTTAGAACTCATAATCAAACGCAGTCCTCGGAAAACAACTTAGGTCACTATGCCTATTTAAAGTAGCTACATAAATCCAGTCCCAGTTCTTTGGGCATTACTGTCAGTGTTCAGTTCTCAGCAACTGGCAAAGACCCAGAGGTGGTCTAATTTTATCAAGTCCCTAGTATAAACACCTAGTTCTAAAAAACACACCAGCTGTATACCTGAGTCAGTTAGCTGGTTGAAGTTTTCCGGGCTTTCTGTGGCACTCCCTCCCCCCTTTTTGTTGTTGTAGCTGCTACAAAAAAGTGGTAAGAAACGTCTCAGGGTTCAAGAGTTGTGAGATACTTGCTTTCTGGTTGAATAAAAGTTGGCACCTGGCAACTGAAGCCAACTGGATAACAAGTCAGTCATGTCAGATAAGATTCACCTCATTAATTCTTCTTAATTGTAAACGTTTTATTCATTTTAAAGAGAACCAGTTTCTTGACTGGGCAGATGGCAAGGTTTGGATATTGTCAAAAACTTCAGTCCTGGGCCTCCCCGGTGGCGCAGAGGTTGAGCGCTGGGTTGCGAAGCTGCCCGCGGCCTCTGCGGCACCGGTTCAATCCCTGGCAGCTCCCCAGCCACCAGAGGAGGGTCCCACATGGCGCGCAGACCTCTCCTGCCGCCCTCTGCTCCCCTCAGCAGTGTACTTCGGTCCTTCTGCCTGCTCTGCTCCCCGCTCTGGCTCTGGTGAATTCTCTCACCCTCCCGCGCTTCTGACTGTACCCAGTGCTTGTATAAACAAACAAACAAATAAATAAAACATGCCTCCATAAAAAAAAAAATTTAAAAAAAATTAAAAAAAAAAAAAACTTCAGTCCTGATTCTGGTTATTTAACTGCCTTTTCATCTAACAGTTACAAGGTATGGGTTATTCAAACTATATTTATAGAGACCTTGTAATTACAAACACATGAACACAAGACATCTTAGAACTGTACCCATCTCCACTATGGACTTAGTAAGAAAAAATAAGAACTGAAAATGAGCTTAAGTTAGTCCTGCTTTCTACTTCCAACCTAAAGGAAACTCAAGATAGAAGGCTGTTAAGGTCTTTGCTCACTGAGAATTTTAAAATCTGTTAACAATATCTCCCTACCTGGCTTCAACTCTAGGTAACCTAGAAGGAAAAAAATGGAGGCAAAATTACACTTAACTGTGAAAATAATATTCAAATAAGGATCAGTAATCAAATAAGCTCCGATTACACTTCATGTGAAACCTACCTCTTTAAGGAGCTCGGTTATCCTTACACACCTACCCAAGCAGCGGTGTTTGCCCCATCTGTGTGAACCCAGAGATGATGGGGTTGCTGGGAGCCCCCAACTGTGTTACACCTCTAATCTCAGGCTGTGTTTCGGGCTCTGACTCCTCTCACGACACATGACCAGGGCCTGAGTGCAGGTCTGGTCACGAAACAATTCTCAGCTCTTGGTAAGGTGAGGCTGGGTAAACCGCGTGTACCTCCTGTGTGCGCGCTCGGTTTCCCTTGGGCAGAGCGGTCTCTAGCTCTGTGAAGGCGAGGCACCACCTAATAGCCCTGCTCTTCCCAGCGAAGAGTCCTGTTTCAGTAGAACCCAATGAGGTAAATACTGAGTTTCTTGGACCTTTTGGCCACCTGAGTTCTGAGTCCAGAGTTCCAACATGCCCAGAAGTCTGGACTGTGACAGGTCCCCTCCCAAGCTGCAGGTCCAGAGCCCTTCTTACAATAGCAGGCTCAACAAAAGCACACAGTGCTGTCCTTCTGGTGGCTCCACATCCTAAACTCTTCTCAGGTTCTACAGTGCAAAAATCTTCCAGGCTCTCATCCTCTGGAGGCACTACAAATTTGGTGATCTCTACTAATTTGTTTTCCACAATCATCCCTTGCTATATTGTCTCCTTTTCCATTTTCCAGGTTTGCGGGCTAATGACCAAGTTCTATTCCTTGCCCATGGAGAGGGGAAAGTATTTATATTCCTTTAAGAAGTGTCCCTCCATCTTTGCCTAACTGCCTCAGAAACAGGTCTGAAGCCTCTCGGTACTGATCTGTTATTAGATACAGGGACAGACTTCCATGCTTTAATTTAGCCAGAGTTCCTAATAAGGCAGAAGGCTCTATAGATCCCCACCTTTGCAAACTCCACTCCTCTTGCTGCTTCTCTTAAGAACTAAAAGAAATTACAGAACTCTGTATTCAACAATGGATACCAGAGAAGCTCATCAGCTAAGTCTATGATTTTCAAACTCCCCATCTGGAGGAAGTGCACGTCCACAGGCACAAAGGAAATGATTAGCCCTGCCTGGGCAAGAGTCTGCCCTCTCTTCTGGGAAAGCACTGATTGGAGACTTACTGCAGGCCTGACGGAGATCCGCTGTGCGGTCATCTCCCTCTAGAATCTATACTGAAAGGTATAAAGGAGTTCTCTATTTTCCTAAGTTGTAGAAATGGTACCTAATGGGAATAAAATAGGCTACTTACACTAAAGTTGGAAGAAAGCAAAAGCTGTGGCCAGTTAAGAGCAAGTCGTGTAGTGGGGAGCAAAGAAGAGCACGGCAGCCAATGCCGGGAATAGCTAGATGGTCAGTAAGACAGTGGAGAATGTCAGGTTAGTTCCTGGTAAGGTCCTCATCAATTCACAGCCTTTATTCAACCAAAATGCTGTTTTGTGTTTAATTTGGATTTCTGTGATTCAAATGATGCATAATTATAAAGGTAAGTTTTAATTTAAAAGAAAGTCTGGGGCCTCCCCAGTGGCGCAGCGGTTGAGTGCTGGGTTGCGAAGCTGCCCGCGGCCTCTGCGGTGCCAGTTCGATCCCCAGCTGCTCCCCGGCCACCGGAGGAGGGTCCCACATGGCACGCAGACCTCTCCTGCCGCCCGCTGCTCCCCTCAGCAGTGTACTTCGGTCCTTCTGCCTGCTCTGCTCCCCGCTCTGGCTCTGGTGAATTCTCTCACCCTCCCGCGCTTCTGACTGTACCCAGTGCATGTATAAACAAACAAAACAAATAAATAAATAAATAAAAACATGCCTCTATAAAAAAAAAAAAAAAAAAAATAAAAGAAAGTCTGTTTATGTACCTGAGTTTAAACACTGAAATAATAAGATCTTATCAGAGCAGACATGCTGAATGTCCGCTACAGGCACCACTGCGAGAGAACTCTGACATTAGCCATGTGATTTACTTATAGGAGCGTGTGTTGTTTTTGTTTTTTAAGATTTATTTATTTATACAAGCACTGGGTACAGTCAGAAGCGCGGGAGGGTAAGAGAATTCACCAGAGTGGGGAGCAGACCAGGCAGAAGGACTGAAGTACACTGCTGAGGGGAGCAGCGGGCGGCAGGAGTGGTCTGTGCGCCAGGAGTGGTCTGTGCGCCGTGGCTGAGGATCGAACTGGCGCTGTAGAGGCTGCGGGCAGCTTCACAACCCAGCACTCAACCGCTGTGCCACCAGGGAGGCCCATGAGTGTGTTTTTTAAAGCAACAGTACAAGGGTGTACAGACCATAAGATAAATGGCTTGTCTATGTCTCTCACTCGCCTCAGGCCCATTCTAAGGTTCTCCAATATTCTTCTCTGAATACGTTGTATTTTGGCCTAAATGACTTCTCCAGTGGGTATTTTAGTTAGCTGGAGGACAGTGACAGGATCTTGCTTGAGGAGAGAGTCCATAGCCTGTGGATTCCTCTCAATCCTAACTTCCAACTTTGTGGTGGTGAAAGCTCTAAAACAAAGTTCATAGCTAGAAATACCAAAAAGGATGGAGAAGGCAGGACAGAAGCAATAACCTGCAGCTCCCCACTGAGGTGATCCCTGGATTAGGCTTCCCACTCTAATAGTACAAACTCTGTGAAGCCCAAAAGCAGGGCAGCAAAGGGAGCAAGGACCAAGAAAATGCAGCTGGCTAGACAACAATCATGACAAAGTGTTTTAGAACCAAGGTAATCCCTAAGGATTCCATAGAGGAAGACTTTCTGGTTTAGGTAAAGAGGCAGGCAGAAAAGAGGGCCAAATCCAGAGAGCTACACTGAGTGGAATTTGTAGTGTGAAGTGAATTTTGAAGAGGAAATTATTACAAGGGTTAGTTTGGGACAGAGAATGAATGGGGAGGATCCCCAGTTAGCTACCTAGCCCAAAAGAAGGCTCTACTTGCATAGAAAGGTCCAGCTCTCACTATCCTGCCCACAGATTTGAACACTATAGTGTTTATAAAAACACCTGAGCCTGCCACTTGTGTTCATCTCTGAGTAACACTGAAAAAGGC